CCTGTGCACATTAGAATGCAGCAGGGGTGCCCTAACGCCAGGGGTGCCTCATAATTGCTACTGTTGTTCAGCAGAGGAAGGAACAAATTGGCGCTTGTGTCTTTTTTCTTTTTTTAAAAAATTTAATTAATTTATTTTTAGAGAGGGAGAAGAGGGGAGAAAAAGAGGGAGATGAAACATTGAATGTGTAGGAGAAACATCAATCAGTTCTCTCCCGCACAACGCCAACTGGGAACCTGGCCTGAAACCCAGGCATGTGCCCTGACTGGGAATTGAATCACTGACCTTTTGGTTTTCAGGGCCAGCACTCAGTCCATGAATCCACATCAGCCAGGGCTTGTGCTTTCTTCCTATGAGGTCCTACCCACCCTGTATTGAAATGTTCTGGGGGTCTGCCTGTAACTGCTAGTGCTTTTGAAGATTTTCTCTTATTTTTATATTGCACTAATCATTTCCATGGGAATCTTGAAGGAGGGTAGATGCCTATATTTATGCTACCAATTAATCAGGAAATCCATACCTTCTCTTTATTAAAGACCTCCTAGGGGATTATCTACCAGGATTCCTGTATTATGCACTTTGAAAACAGAACTGCTTCTCTATGCTTTTGTTACAGAATTATTTTGTCAATCAAAAAAGATTACTGTCCAGCCCTGGCTGGCGTAGCTCAGTGGATTGAGCGCGGGCCTGAGAACCAGAGTATCACAGTTCGATTCCCAGTCAGGGCAACCCAGTCCCATGCCTGGGTTGCAGGCCAGTTCCCAGCAGGGGATGCATGAGAGGCAACCATACATAGATATTTCTCTCCCACTCTTTCTCCTTCCCTTCCCCTCTCTCGAAAAATAAATAAATAAAAAAATTAATTAAAAAAAAGATTACTGTCCAAAACAAGTAGTTATATTAAAGCATTATAATATTGATCATGTAAATATTGATCAAGAACAATGTAAGTACCCCCAAGGGTTCCAAAAATGACTAAGAAGGCCTATTCTGTTTATAAACTAGTTCAGTGGAAGCAATGTAATAGAACAGACCAAAGCTGTCTTACAATTAGCAGTGAACAATTGAAAGATAAGATGCTGATTCTGAAATTTAGTCACAGTTTCCTGTGATGATAATATTCTAACTCAAAAGTCATAATAACTTTAAATGCTAAATATTAAGAAAAGTTCTTATCTACCATCTTCAAAAGTATCAAAACTGAAAGAAGCTTTAGGCAATACTTATTTAGTACTTACCACAGAGAAAAAGTACATTTAAATTAATTTAAATAATGATGACAACGTGGTACCAGCTCAGCAGCTACGGTTATGTCCATTTAAGGAACCTCTTACATTACCAAGGGCTCTGTGAGCTACTTGACATGTATCTCATTTAATGCTCCACTCCTGCCCCACCAATATAATCTCCCCTTTTCATATGAGGAAACAGGCCCAGAGGTTAGGGAATTTGCCCAAGAGTTGAATGGCTAGTGGAGATGCTCTGTGGAGTGCCTATTTCTAGAGAACATCAGAGATTCTGAGAAGCATTATTTACATGGATTCCAACTCTACTGCAGGCTGCCCTATGATAAGGAACTTCCCCAGTGCTGACGGTGTTCTGCTGAGGGCTGGGTGGCCATGTTTGCAATGCATTCGTATTATCTGTTATTCTACATCAGGTTTCTTCAATTGGGGTTCACACACGTCTGAAAACGAATGCAAATTTGTATAGGTGCACAATTCTGGGCGGAGGGCTTTCTCTAGATTCGAGTGTAGCCCATGGTGCAAAAAAGGTTCAGAATTGTCTTGTACATATTCCTCAGGAGCTGATTTTTAATCTCTAAAACCCATGAAACCTTATTCTAATTTCTGAGAAAATCGTGTAGTATAACACCTTACAGTGTACTTATACTTTGAAGAAAGAGGAGGCAATTGCCGAAGAGAAAATTTCGAATTGTAACTCGAAATAACCAGACAGCTATGGTCGAGGGAGTGCGGTAAAGGCTGAGACTGAATTACCTACATCATGGCAGCAACTTTCCGTTTTTCATTACAAACGTAGAAAACGCTACTGCATAAAAGAAAGAAGAGTGAGCTGAGATGATCTGAATCATTAAACTTAAAAAGATATGTCATATGCCATTATAAAAGCATGGGAAAATATGCCAACATTGGCAATTACATTTCTAAATAAAAAGAAAACACAGAAACTACTTTCTAGTTTTAAACAACAAAGTATGTATAATCTTGCAGTGAATAAAAAATGTGGATGGAATTTTTCACTTTTTTTTCAAAGTAGTTCTGCTAAATTTCAAATTTTTTTTGGGGGGGGGAGATGATCATGCTGCACAAATATAAAGGTACATATTAGCAAAGTAATTGAAATAAATGATGGCGATGTCCACTGGGCCATGTCTGGGGAGGAGTCTCCCTCCCCTGTTCCCGCTCTTAATGTAAAAATGTCTGACATGTAAAATTCTGCACTTACACATAACGCATTAGGAGAGGTTATTTTTCATCCCCTCCTTAAAACCTACAGGATGTATTTATTTATTTTTTATTATTTATTTACTTATTTATCTTTAGAGGGGAAGAGAAGGAGAGAGGGAGAGAAATATCAATATATGGTTGCCTCTCATGCGTCCCGTGCTGGGACCTGGCCTGCAACCCAGGCATGTGCCCTGACTGGGAATCAAACTGTGATCCTTTGGTTCGCAGGCCGGTGCTCAATCCACTGAGCTACACCAGCCAGGGCCACAGGATGTCTTTACAGAGTTCTTACAGGGTTTTTAAAATGTAATTTGATTTTTTAAAAAAGGTAATAGGTTATACCCGCGCCCCCCCCCCCACCGGCCCCAGAAAATTCCACTGCCAATGCTATTAAGGCATGATTTTCAATCCTGCATAATATAGTATTGAAGTAAAAAGTTACCCCAAAGGATTTTTGACTATTACTATATACCAAGTCAAGCCATGTACTACCTAGGACTTCATCCAAAACTTACTATTTTTATACATAATTAACATAGAACTTTATGTATATCTCTAAATATTTGATATCTGATCTCCAGTACAGAAAAGTTAAGAATGGCAAACCAGAGAAATAGTGAAATGTCCGAGGCCAGCACAGCAACAAGCAGCAGACTGACAGAGAGGGAAGAGACAGGAAGACAGACAAGAAGGGGTCCGCATCCCCGAAGAGGCCAAAGTGCCTGGAGATGGCAGGAGGGAAGGGAGGGGATGTCAGTCACTGAAGCTGTTACCCAAGATCTTCCTGCCTTTGAGATGCAGGAAGCTTCTTAGAGCACTGTCCTGCTTCTCCCTCTAGCTTAATGGTGCCTCTGCAGTGTCCAGGGACGGATCAGGAGTTTCCTGAAGAAAGGTGTCCTCTGGGCCCTAGAGGTCAATGCCTGAGCAAGCAGCCCTGAAGAGAAGGGAACCGATTCAGCTCTGCCACAGCCCTTTAATTAATTACCTTGCTGCCTGCCCCAGGGTCTGTTCCCAATTTCCCCCGCCTGTGATGTGATCCTGGGGATTTTTCCATGTTTCTGCTGAACTCACCATTTCAGCAGTGTTGTTTTTCATATTTACTGCATTTTGGGGTCTTTTGCTCAGTTGGGCTATCCTTCAATCTTATTCCATCTGTTGTATATTATTAAAAAATTCCTCAATGTTGATTCCACCCTCCAGGTTTCCAGTGCTGCTGGGGATTTACTTTTATGCTTATTATCCCATTTTAAAGAGATTTTGAATGGAAATAAAGGCATGTCTCAATCAGCTATCTTCTTTTGGAAGCCATTTGGGACACTTTATTTATTTATTTTTTTATGGTAAGCCACTTATATTTGATATTTTCACATTTGCTCTAACAAGATCTTTTTCTTTTTTAAATTTTATTTAGTTACTTTTCAAGTACATTTTTTTTATCCCTCCCCCCCCCCGCCCGGTCTCCCCCTCCCTCCCATTCCCCCCCCCCCCCCAGTCCTCATCTCTGTGTCTTTCATACTTGTTCCTCAAAATCCCTCCCCCTTTTTCCCCTTAAGTTCCCTTCCCTCTCCCCTCTGGTCGCTGCCCACTTGTTCTCTATTTCAGCGTCTTTGTTTTTATTCTGTTTGCTTGTTTGTTTTATTCTTTAGCTTCCTGTCAAAGGTGAGATCATATGGTATTTGTCCTTCAATGCCTGGCCTATTTCACTCAGCATAATGCTTTCCAGTTCCATCCATGTTGTTGCAAAAGGTAGTAGCTCCTTCTTTCTCTCTGCTGCATAAAATTCCATGGTGTATATGTACCACAATTTTTGGATCCATTCATTTACTGATGGGCACCTAGGTTGCTTCCAACTCTTGGCTATTGTAAATTGTGCTGCTATGAACATTGTGGTGCATAGGTTCTTTGAAATTGATGTTTTAGGATTCTTGGGGTATAATCCTAGCAGTGGAATTGCTGGGTCAAAAGGCAGGTCGATTTTTATTTTTCTGAGAAAATTCCATACTGTTTTCCATAATGGTTGTACCAGTCTACAATCCCACCAACAGTGAACTAAGGACCCCTTTTCCCCACAACCTCTCCAACATTTGTTGTTTGTTGCTTTGTTTATGATAGCCATCCTGACTGGTGTAAAGTGGTATCTCATTGTGGTTTTAATTTGCATCTCTCTGATAGCTAACGATATTGAGCATCTCTTCATGTGTCTCTGAATGTTCTGTATGTCCTCCTTGGAGAAGTGTTTGTTCAAGTCCTTTTCCCATTTTTTAATTGGGTTGGGTGTCTTCTTAGAGTGGAGTCGTGTAAGTTCTTTGTATATTTTGGAGATTAAACCTTTGTCTGAGGGACACTTTAAATAAAACAAATATTCTTCCCCTACAATTAGTGCATTAAGATTGTTATCGCTTAGCTCTCAATTTTACTGTAGTCAAATGAATATTTGAACACCATTAAACTGTGAAACTTGAAATTTTCTTGTTTTTGTTTTGTTAAATGAAGTACTATAAAAAGTGGAAACAAGTTCAGAAAACTCACAGTCCATGTCCAGTGTGGTACGGACAGATCTGACGAGCTCCTTCGATTCCAGAGCCAGCGTGGCGGCCACGCTGCGGCCGTTCCTTCCCAGTGGGGTAAGGGACGTCTGGGAGGCGAACAGGGCTCTTCTTTCACTGCGAGGGCAACAGAGCAAAGCTGAACTTACCACTCAGTAGATAACATCTATCTTTGACAAACATGAATTCTTATTAGTTATAAAGTTGGACAAAAATATTTCTGTGTCTGGGAATGTTGTATTCTTATAGCCATAAATGAAGTCGTTCACAGAAACCATTATTTCTGTTTTCAATTTTTTTACTGTATAACAATAAGGCACATTTTAAAAATTAGATTGACACCATACATAAGAAGGAAGGGATGGGGGATGGTCCACCTCCTACATCATCTGTTGGGCTTATTTTGTAAGTACTTATATTATGCTCATATCATGGAGCCTTTTATTCAGTTTTGTAAAAATTCAAGTTAAGCACATAAACATAAATCTATAAACACACATCTACTATTACCCCTAATAATATTAACTATGACTTCAACATGTGTATTTACTCATGAAATTATCCCCTGAGCACTCCCATGTGTTGCCCCAAATCTGACAGCCTAGGTCATTCACATTACTTTTAAAAATGCAAATGTCACCTGAAATGACTGCGATCAGATATAATTAAAATGCAAAGTTTCACTGTAAAAAGTCATATGCTAAAACTTTTACTTGAAAAGAGACAATTTTTTAAAATCCTCACCTGAGGACACAGTGATTTTAGGGAGACAGGAAGGAAGGGAGAGAGAGAGGGAGGGAACCACTGATGAGAGAGAGAAACATGGACCCGCCGCCTCTTGTACGTGCCCCAGATGGGGACAAAACCCGCAACAAGGGTGTATGTGCCCTGACTGGGAATCAAACTGGCAAACTTTCAGTTTAAGGGAAGAGGCTCCAATCAACTGAGCTACACCAGCCGGGGAGACAAGAGACTACTTTAAACTGATAACAAAGCCATCATTACTTACTTCCCATCTTCTTAAGCATGATGGGATTAATTCACAGAGAGAAATTAAAGTGTCAGTTCTTAAATGCAAATACCCAGCCTTTTTATTCTGTGTTGAATGACCAAGACAAAATATACAGTACAGAAGACATACTAAAGACAATATACTAAAGACTGAACCAAATTTTGCTAGCATTTAACTTTTCAAGACAGGGTAAAAATTTGCTTAATGTCACTTCTTAAAGTTATCTCCCCCCCGCCCCCACCCCCATGAACTAGTTTAAGGAAAGGGCAGACTCTGGCTTTTAAGTAGTCATTTTAACATTCGTTTTTAATAACAGAACTTTTGAATTATTTTTTGAGGTCACAAAGAGACCTTGGGATTGGAGGCAGGGAACATACCTAACTTATACAAGGGGGATCTGATTGCTGGGTGTTTTAACAGCCTTACTAAAAATAATCATTATGGAACTCACATAATTATCTTACATCATAAGTAGCACGCGTACCAATGAAAAATGTCAAATTCCTTCATTAGAATAAAGCATTACAATTAAATGAGTTTAGAAGTGTACTACTGTAGGAATTCTTCTAAATTCAAAAACGCTGTGGAAACCTAAAATATATAAGAATGTAATATATCATCTTCACTTATTAAATTGCTGTTCTCATAGCGAAAGGAAGAATTTTCCTAGGTTTCTTGCTAGAAGTAGAATGCTAATGTCAGCTGCTATGAGATGAGGGAAAAGTGGCTTTGAAAATGTACAAACAGAAATTGTTCTTTTGTATCATACATCAAAATGACCATACTCTTGCAGTTTGAAATCAATAAATGTTATTAGTATGATTGTAGTGCCCGGTAAGAAACTTTAAATCAGAAACAAACTGTGAATAATAACAAAATTAAGGGGTAGTCTCCAAGTATATTTTTAATTTATGTCTATTGAGTGCTGAAAATGCAAGAAATTGATCGCCTGAGCACGTTTTACAAACTGCTGTTTGCCACAACCACTCATATGCTAGCTTGCCACTCACCTTCAGTGCTAAGCCTGTGACAAGCAGAGTGACCTTTACTCATACACAGAATGCTTAAGGAACTCGGAGCTCATCTCATCTTCAAGTTCGCCTCATCTTTATAGAATTACTGACAAAGGCAAGATAGGTGATTCCTACTTCCACTTTAGAGTACTAGGTTACAATGATCTGCCAAACACCTTGAGGAAATTTCTTTCACAGAGATGAGGTCGAAAAAATATGTCCTTGTATCTATTTCCACAAGACATTAAAGAACAGTATTGAGTAGGAGTTATGTAGCATCTTTTTTTTTAAAAGATGGTTGCCTCTTGTGTGTCCCCTGCTGGGAACTGGCCTGCAACCCAGGCATGTGCCCTGACTGGGAATCAAACTGCGATCCTTTGGTTTGCAGGCCTGTGCTCAATCCACTGAGCTACACCAGTCAGGGCTATGTAGCATCTTAAAACTAAGAGATTTTACTATTTTAGTCCCAGATGAATACCAGATGAAACTATAATCAGTGGGCATATTCTGTAGAAAGTATTCCAATATTCTTACCTTAAAGTTGTTAAAGAAGCAGAATTATCAGAAAACACTTCTTGAATAGCCTAGCAACAAACAAAATAGTGAGATTTCTAAGTTTGATAGTCTTTTAAAATGTCTTTTCTTAATTAATATTTATAACCTCCTCCTTCATGCTACTCCCTTAATTGATTAAAAAGTGTTTCTGTTATTGGTGGGGAGATGAATTCATTAACATGCAATTCTACTCATAAATAGATTATAGAAACTTTTCTTTGTAACAGGTAAATGCTTATCAAATAATGTCTATAGATATGGAGAGTTTCATTAATAAATTATTCACTGAAGCATAGCATATATTTGGGATCATATGACCTGTCTCAATTCTTTCTCTTAATGATATATATGTTAGCCAGGCTTTTCATTATCTGGGCAATTTTTAATCTGACTGTAAATTATTATTGATGTTTTGAGCCCACCTAATACTGACATTTATTTATATGTTAGTTGCTTGTACACTGCTTAAAAAGGGATGGTAAGTAATATAATGGGAAAATTTACCTCCACAAAATGAAGAAGCTTTTCAGTGGATGCCTCAAAAGATTTCCGAGCCATTTCCGATTTTCGCAATTGGCAGTCAAGAACTGTGATTCTCTTCCTTAACTCCTGAATGCTTTCCTGGAGACAGCAAAAAGATGGCCTCGCACACTTCTTCTAGTCAATACGACTGGCTCCTGCTTCCAGTTTTTGTTGACTAGTACGCTACACTGCCATATCGTTTACTTTCTCTTTATTATGTATACCTTCTGATGTGGGGGCAAGCGCTCAAAAATAATGGCCCATTTAACAGTTAAACTGCACACGGGTGCTGCAAATTTTATGAGACAAGCTTCATATAACTTTATTGATTTCTACAATAAAGTACATTTAAATTAGTTTCAGTGGATTTTTTTGTTTGTTTTTTGTTTTTTTGGCAACATGGCTTACCAGCTGCTGACAAAAACCCCTAGCAGTGTGTGGCAGAGCCAAAAGTGCTGAAGATGTACACACGTATTTAAAATAACACAATGCAGCGAAGAGTCGAGCTGGCGAGGGAAGGAAGGGATTCATCCCACGGGCAGCGGAGGAATTCCACCGAGACAAGCAAGAGCAATGCGGAGTGCCGGCTGGAGTAAGTTCACGGCAGCATAATGTGTTGCGAGGGAGCGTGCTGAGCACTGGTGGCCTACAGTTTACCGTTTCATCAGGCACAAGTGGCCAATGGGAGAGCTTTAAAGGATGAACTAGAAAGAAACAAACTGATAAAGTGCACCAAGTTTTGACTTTGGCTCTCTGGTGAGCAGATTAAGAACAGTATCCGCTGAGTAAGCGGTAACCACAAGCCTCCAGGCAAGTAGGTTTAAAGTCAGAATTTATACTACTGTGTAATCTGTAAATTCCTAAGATGAAAATTTAGTTTAAATTGGTCCCAGGCTGATAGAAGAAAACACAAAGCTTCTTTGGAGGGATATTTTCTACACTCAAATCGTAAATAATTTCTCACGTGTATTGTACCAAAAGGCTGTGGCCTCAGCAAATTAGCCACCGTAAATGAAAGTCCATTGAAGGAAATAAATGACAGCGTCAGTCCCGTAAGAACAGCAGATACTGGAGTGATCAGGGGCGGTATACATGGCAATATTTAATATACCGTTCGAAATTCAGAAGGAACTGAAAGCATAATGAAAGGGATAAGACACTATCAAAACAGGCCCGATGACAGAAAAAAATCAACCTTAAAAATAAGAAAATGCAACTATAATTAAATTAGAAACTCAATTTATAAGCTTGCTTTCTATCCGATTAGATACGGTTGAAAAGAGAATGAGTAAACTGAAAGACGGAGGTAGAGAATCTTAAAATGAAGCAGACAAAATGGAAAATATAAAGAAGGAGATGAGGTAAGGAGAAAAAAATCAGAAGATCTTTCATAGATCCAATCTGAATTATGCAGGAAAGACCAAGAAAAGTAAAATAAAGTTAGCTAAAAATAACTGCTTGTGGTTTTTCAAAAAAAAAAACAACAACAAAAAAACCCTGCAAAAGACATTTTTCCCCAGAAAAGATGTCAGGAAGTTCAAGGAATCTAAATAATTAAGTTAGCATATGACTCTTTATAGTCAAACTGCTGAACATTGAGAATAAAGAAATCTTAAGATCATCCAGAAAGAAACACTAGAACGCAAATAAATGACAGATTGATGACTACTGCGACCAGGGAGTCAAAACACTGAAAAAAATTTAATGTTAACAATGTTAACAATTCTAAAGGGAGCAAAAATACATCTCAAAAGCAAGAGTTCAATAAAGATGTCTGCAAAGAAACAAAAATGGAAAGAGTTTATTATCAATAGATCCTCACCGAATACATTTCTAAGAGCAGCACTTCTCAGAGCAGAAAGAAAACAAATAATTCTAGAAAGAAGGTCTGAGAAGCAAGAAATTATGTGAAACACAGAACATGGGAAACACGGTGGTCTAGCTAAACAAAGGCTGACCGCACAAAATAAACTGTAATAGTGCCTAATTTATGGTGTTGAAAGTTAAGAAAGAACTAAAATAGTGACAAATATAGAAATTGAGAAGGAAGAAATGATTGCATTTATATTCTAAAGTACTTTTGGAAGAAGGGGAAAAGCTAGTGATTCGTTTTATAATTTAAGTTACAAAAGAATGTTAAATTTCTAAGATAACCATTAAAAATTAGAAAAAGGGTATATAACTTGTGAACCTGAAGAGGGAAATAAATGGAATAGGAGTGGGAGAACACAGGAGAAATCTGAACCAACTCAAAAAGGGGGAGGAGGCTGTGGAGGAGGAGGAGGAGGAGGAGGAGAGGAAGCCGGTGGCAAGAAAAAAATCAAGATGAAAACACGAGACAAATAAAATGTACAAATTAAGAGGGTAGAAATGAAGCCGAGTGCATTAGCAGATAAAAGAATGTAATTGAAACAATGTCCTTAAAGGTAAGAAAATTATGAAAATGGGGCAGGAGGAATTCTGCTACATGTTATTTACCATATAGATGCAATTAAAACACAGGGTCATTGACAAGTTGAAAGTAAAAGGATGTAAAAAAATACATAGGTAAACATGAATCAAAAGAAAGCCAGTGTAGCTATTTTAATATTAACCAAAAACAGGCATTAAGGGAAAAGAATATTACTAGAATGAAGAATTACAACATTTTCATAGAAGGATGTAACATAATTTCAATCTTGTGTGCAGCTAAAAGCATTACTTCAAAATACATAAAGAACATTAATCACAAGCCCCCGTGTGTGTGATTTTAACACACTTCCCTGACAAATTAATGACTAGAGAGCAACTGAACAGCACAATTAATGACTCCGATCTGGCGATCTGAAGTAAAACAACTACATGAAACAACTGCAGCATTCTTTTCAAGCTGACTTCAAACATTTGTAGACATCGGCCATAGAGTAAAATGGCCATCAACAAATTGTATCGTTACTCTACACACTAATAATTCAGTTCCTCTAACAAGGCACTCCACTTTTCTGTGACTCAGTGTTTATAAATCAAGACTCAATAATAAATATGTAAATGATTCCCAAATGAATCTATGTGCTTAATGCATTTTCAGTAAAAAGGCTAAGTTTTTGGTGGAATTTATAAACTGAGTCTAAAAACACAAAAGATCAAATGGCCACGAAGCCAACACACTTTGTGCGCTCTCTCCCCACGGGTACTGGGTTTTGAAAATGTTGAGATGCCCAGGCCTGAAACCACTTCTTTAAAAAAAAAAAAAAAGGATTGTTTTCAGAGACAGCTTAATGGCTAGTGAAGGGTTTTGCTAAGAGAAATGGCATAAGACCCCATTATGCTAAAAAAGAATTGAATTAATTTCACTACCAGACAGCTTAGAACAAGTCTTCCTCAACTAGGACATGGAAGAAAGAATTTCAAATAATCTACACCTTTAAAAACAAACTTAAATAAATTCATTTGAACTCCTTAAGTGTTGTATTTTTTTAAGACTAATTTTCCTTCCAAAGAGTACTTTCAATAGTTTGATCATTCCCCCAATTTTTTTAAGAATCATTTTGAAGTTACCCACATAAAATAAGCACCTATCTCCATTTTTAAAATGCAAATACTGAGACAAAGGTAAAAAAAATCTACGTGATATTTCTTAGGTTTTGCTGCTTTTGCAAGCAGTCTGTTTGCCTTGCGGTGTTATTGGAACATCAGACTTCTTGTGGGACTGGTTTAAACTGACGGACGTGAGGAACATATCGGTAACGCTGAAGAGTTAACCTAAGGAAATTTCAGATTTTCTTCTGTATTTTGCTTGTCTAAAACTAGTCTCATTGGTATAGTTAAAGTATTTAACTCGTTTATGTTTAAATAAATAGATGTAAATAATTCAAAGTCACTATGTTCTCTTGAAAGGTGACTGGATTAGATACATAAACAGTTATTATGTTTATAAACAAACTCGATGAAGTTGTAAAATATCTATTTCAATTTATTTAATTTTCTATCTTGCATCTGTGGAGTAAATGTGTGTGTCTTTTACAGTTTTTGAACATCATTCAATGAATAGAGTATGGACTCTAGGAAAAAAATCGTATAAACATACCCATAAAAAGATTGCCATTGCCTTCTGAACAGCATTTGGTGTCTTGCTATAGAAATCTGAGCCTGCTACATTTAAACTCAGTTTCTTCTACTAATTATCTTGGGCCTAGGGCAAAATTATTTAACTTTCACACTTCCTTGAGTGTTTTAATCAAAAAGCAAAACCCATCTCTAGACTCTCCTGCTCCCATCCCCACAAGACAAATTAGCAAGTGCAGAAACAAGAGAGAAAAACAATGTAATCAATGACAGGCTAAAGAATTCCAGGATTTCATGCCTGAGGGGTATCGTGTTGACCAGTGACCCACGTATGCTTGGGCCACCAGCTTTCCCTCCCAAAGCCATCTGAGCAAAGGGAGGCTCGAAGCTTCCACATGGCCCTCCTCGCTACACACCATCCTGCCATTGAATAACAAGAAAAACACTGACCTAGTTTAGAAGTGCAGATGAAAAGAAAATGAAAACAGGATACATGACAACGGCAAGGAAACCATGGTAACTAGGAGAGGGGACTGTTTTGCTCACTTTATTTTGGTCAGAATAATCAGCAAGCTGGGCCTTCAGCTCTGTGATCTCGGCCTCCAGCAGACGGATCACTTCTTCGTAGTCCATTTCCATCCCATGCGCCTGTCTCTGCACGGCTTCGGCAAGATGAATCCGGCTTCGCAGGGCTTTGGTTTCTTCAATGACAGCTTTGGCTTCCTAAAGATTTCAAAATTGGTGCCAAGGGGGAAAAAGAAACACGTAAAAATAGTTCAGTGGTTTAAACAAAATATTTCCTCCCTCAAGATGTTATAACTCCAAAACTTAGTATGTGCTTGTTCCTCGCATCTCAATGGAAAATTAATATGCATGTACTTTATTAGAGAGTAGCTGCCCGATCTTACTTTTCCTTTGTTGATTTTTTAAGATTATTTCCAGTATGGAATCTCCAACTTCACTCCCCTAGCATAACATTTTGAAAATAAGGGAAGTGGAAGAGAACTGGAAACAGAAGATAAAAGAGTAAGAATTGGTTCAAAAGATTAGAAGAGTAAGCTTCCACAAAACTCAAGTAGGTGGTAAGGCTCAGGTTCCAGGAAGGCTCTGGAAGCTTCCTTGTTACCACTGAGAGATCTTCAGGGACGTGGAGCTTTTCCAGGGCCCATGCCCAGGAGCCAAAACGTACTCCCAGACATCAGTCTCACCACTACTTCTCTTTTTCAATTTAAGCCAAAAAGTAGGACTCAGTGGCAAAATATATGGCTCTTCCTACAGGATGCACTGCTCCTAAAACATTTATCAAACATGTGTTATGTTTCAGGTGATTCATGTGTCTTTTCTCATTTAACTTTTATAACACCACCAAGAGAAAGGACTTATTTAAAAATCATTTTATACATAACCAGAGGCTCACGTTAGGTATAAGCCTGAGCCTTTTTATACATCATCCAAGACCAGAGAGTAAGGCCAGAATTTAAACCCAGGTCTATCTGACTCCAACTTCAATGCTCGGTTCACCATTTTACTCTGTCACCAGATGATAAGTACAAACAAACAAACAAACAATGAATTGACCCTGTGTATTTTAGCTACATTCTCCACGTGAGGAAGAGGATGGGGTGACAACCACTTGCTCTCTCCAAATGTGCCTCGGTGCGGGGTGGACTGCAGCCCCCAGGACGCTGACATAATTTAACATGGCAGTTACTATACTGTTAAGCAGTTCTTTCCTTGATGCAGAATCTCTTTTCTCCGCAATGGAACTTTCTGCTCCAATTGCCATGGCTAATATTCAACTACCGCTATTTTAATATTCTCGAAGCTATTGTAGGATGCTTGATTTTTTGAGCCTAAGTATGGTTGAAGTGAGGGGAGGTTTGGGAATATGGACATATTTTTAAGGATCAAATTTTCATTCATACATGCAAGACTATTTATTAAAAACTTATTTTGCATCAAGTTCTGTTTTAGATACTGAGGGTAGAAAAGATCTATATATCCTCTAAACAAAACAAAAATATCCTCTAAACAAAATAGGCAAAAAGTCCTCCCATCTGCCCCCAGAATCTGGACTCCAGTTTGGAGAGATAGTAAATTAGAGATTATCAATGAAGATTTCATTGAGAAAACATTGGACCAGAGACCTGCAGGAAGGATGGAGCCATGAAGATTTTCCAAGGAGGAGCTTTCTGGGCGGAGGGAACAGTTCGTGCAAAGGCCTTGGGGCAGGATTGTGCCTTGTATCTTCCGGGAACAGCAAGGAAGCCAGTGTGGCAGCAGTAGAGAGGAATGGGACAGGAAGGGGGCAGCAGGGCATGGGGCAGAGTGGTAACTGCAGGGAGGGCAAGGGTGGGATTGGGGTGCAGAGGCCAATCTTAAGGGGCTTTGTAGGCCATTGTAAGGACTTTGGTTTTACTCTGGGTGAGATGCGAAGGCAATGGAGGGTTTTGAGCAGAAAAGTGATACAATCTACTTAAATTTTAAGTGGGTATCTTTTGCTGCTGTGTTGAGAGTAGACTGTATGGGGTGGGCAAAGGTGTAGCAGGGACAAAGGGAAGGGAACAAAGGAAAACATAATTGTGGCTTGGATAAGGGTGACAGTGGCGGACACAGTGTTAAGTGGTTAGATTCCACATGTAGTCTGAAAGAACAGGACAGCACATCATCGTTAACCATTTTTACTTAGCAGATACTCTCTCCAGACAAACATGCTATATCATAGAAAATACATCTGAGTTTTATAAGCTTTTTACTTTCCCTTTTCTGGCTCAGCTTAGAATGTTAAGTACGACTTAGAGAAGTGGTGGAAGAGGGCAGAGCACGTTAGACAAAGCAAAGAGTGCAAACAGAAGCAGAGAAGAAGAAGAAATGTGGTACATTTGTGAAAGGGCACCGGAGATTAGTTTTGACTGAAGTCTATGCTTCCTATAGGGGAGTGAGGAATAAAAAAGTTCAAGGAGAGGGAGAGACAGGACTGGGCTGTGGTGGAAATAGCGTGACAGGCAAAATAAACTTTCAACTCTCCTCTTTCAACATTTAGTCCATTACCCTCTTCTACCTCCACCCATCCCCTTTCTCTCTGGCAATCACCATACTGTTGTCTGTGCTTATGAGTTGTGGGTTTTTTCCCTTAATTCTTCCACATTTTTCACCCAACGCCCTAACCCCTCTGCCCTCTGACAACTGTCATTCTGTTCTCTGTACCTATGAGTCTGGTCCGTTTTGGTTTGTTTATTTTGTTCGTTAGCCTCCACATACATGTGAAATCATATGGTATTTGTTTTTCTCTGACTGGCTTCTTTCACTTAGCACAATACTCTTCAGGTCCATCCATGCTGTCCCGAAAGGCAAGAGTTCCTTCTTTTTTTATGGCCGACTAGTATTCACTGTGTAAATGTACCAAATCTTGACTATTTAAAATAATGCTGCAATGGACATAGGGGTGTATATATTCTTTCAGATTAGTGTGTTGCATTTTTTTTTAAATAAATTCCCAGAAGTAAAATAACTGGGTCACAAGGCAGGTCCATTTTTAATTTTCTGGGGTGAACCCACACTGCTGGCTGCAATAGTCTGTACTCCCACCACCACTGCCAAAGGTTCCCCTTTCTCCATATCCTCACTCACACTTTTTTTTGTTGATTTACTGATGACAGCCCTTCTGACAGATGTGAAGTGATACTGTGGTTTTCATTTGCATCTCTCTGATGAGTAGTGATGTTGAGCATCTTCTCACATGTCTATCGGCCATCTGTATGTTCTCTTTGAAGAAGTGTCTACTCAGGTCCTTTGCCCATTTTATAATTGGATGGTTTGGGGGTTTTTGGTGTTGAGTTTTATAAGCTTTTTATAAATTTTGGATATTAATCCCTTATCAAATGTATCACTGGAAAAATATGTACTCCCATTTAGTGTTGATGGTTTCCTTTGCTCTGCAAAAACTTCTTAGTTTGATGTAGCCCCTTTGTTTATGTTTCTTTTGTTTCCCTTGTCTGAGGTGATATACCAGAAAAAAAAATTTTATTGATTATGCCATTACAGTTGTCCCATTCCCCCCTTCATTCTCCTCCACCCTGTACACCCCTCCCCCCACATTCCCCCCTTTAGTTCATGTCCGTGTTGTAAGTTCTTTAGCAACTACATTTCCTACACTACTCTTGCCTTCCCCCTGTGTATTTTCTGCCCACCATCTATGCTACTTATTCTCTGTACCTTCTCCCCCCTTCTCCTTCTCCCACTCCCCTGTTGCTAACCCTCCATGTGATCTCCATTTCTGTGGCTCTGCTTTTGATCTAACTGTGCACTTAGTTTGCTTTTGTTTTAGGTGTGGTTGTTAATAACTGAGTTTGCTGTCCTTTCATTGTTCATATTTTTTATCTTTTTTTCTTAGATAAGTCCCTTTAACATTTCATATAATAAGGGCTTGGTGATGATGAACTCCTTGAATTTGATCTTATCTGAGAAGCACTTTATCTGCCCTTCCATTCTAAATGAAAGCTTTGCTGGATAGATCAATCTTGGTTGTAGGTCTTTGGTTTTCATGACTTGGAATACTTCTTTCCAGCCCCTTCTTGCCTGTAAGGTCTCTTTTGAGAAATCAGCTGACGGTCTGATGGGAACTCCTTTGTAGGTGACTGTCCCCTTATCTCTTGCTGCTTCTAGGATTCTCTCCTTCATTTTAATCTTGGCTAATGTAATGATGATGTGCCTTGGTGTGTTCCTCCTTGGGTCGAACTTCTTTGGGACTCTCTGAGTTTCCTGGACTTCCTGGAAGTCTATTTCCTTTGCCAGAGTGAGGAAGTTCTCCTTTATTATTTGTTCAAATAAGTTTTCCACTTGTTGCTCTTCCTCTTCCCCTTCTGGTACCCCTATAATTCCGATGTTGGAACGTTTAAAAATGTCCTGGAGGTTCCTAAGTCTCTCCTCATTTTTTTTGAATTCTTGTTTCTTCATTCTTTTCTGTTTGGTCATTTTTTTCTTCCTTCTGGTCTACTCCACTGATCTGAGTCCCAGTTTTCTTTCCATCACTATTGGTTCCCTGTGCATTTTTCTTCATTTCACTTAGTGTAGCCTTCATTTTTTCATCTAATTTGCAACCAAAATCAACCAGTTCTGTGAGCATCCTGAACACCAGTGTTTTGAACTGTGCATCTGATAGGTTGGCTACCTCTTGGTTGCTTAAAAGCATTGGCTCTGGGGCTTTGATTTGTTCTTCTGATTGAGATGTTTTTGGTTAGTTTGTACCTGTTATGTATGAGGCGTGGAGCCTTAGGTGTATACCAGGGCAGGGCAACCCAGTTGCTGGGTTCCAATACTGTCTGTGGGGACGGGGTCAGAGAGGGGAATAATGGTGTTTGCTCCACTCTCTTTTGAATTTTGGTCCCCTCTCCGCTTCCCACATGCAAATGGGGCCCTTCTGGTGCTGGTTCCTGGGTAGGTGGGCTTGTGTACATTCTAGGACCCTGCAGGTCTCTCCCTTGAACTCTCCTATGAGGCTGCGAGCCACTCCTGGCACCTCAACCCCCACAAGTTTTTTCAACTAGTGCTTTTAGGCTTTATTTCCCCTCCCTGGGGCCCTGGGTTGGGCAGTCTGTCTCACTGCCTGGTTTATCTGCATGCAAATGTGTGTCTGCAGTCAGCCAGCCACCTTGTGCATCTCACTGGGTTTGCTTGTTTTCTCCTGGTGCTGCCTGTGCTCCCGGGTCCACTAATCACCGCCT